TTCACATCCATCGATTTTCAAGATTTATAAAGAACTGCCAATCAGAATTTGTGGTGGTGATCTACATGAGGCTCCTATTGGTTTATAGTGTATGATGATATACGGTTTAACATTGGTTTGGTTAAGTAGCTCGGTTTAAAACAATTGTACAGCTAATATAAATACTTGTAATTGTACATTTTATCATAATAAGAAATCATTTTGATATTATCTTCTTATTCTCTCTCAAGTAACTTGAACGTAATATGGTATCAGAGCTTCTTTTGAGCTTGATTTGTTGATAATTTCTCCTCGATTGAGCTCCGATTACGTTTCTCAGGCTACGATGGTACCGGTGAAGAAGATCCCTCGTCGATCGTTGCGTATTTCAACCCGTGCTGCTCCGATTGCCTCTCCGACGACTTCTGGTTCGGTTTCTAAGGCGTCGAGTGCACTTCTAGGCGTTGATCTGACGGATTCGATTCATTCTCCTTACTTCATGCACACATCTGATCATCCTGGTTTGTTACTTATCTCTCTCAAGCTTGATGGTTCAAACTTTGATGATTGGGAAGCTGCGATGAAGATTGCTCTTGATGCGAAGAATAAGATCGGATTTGTGGATGGATCGTTACCACGACCTCTGGAATCCGATGTTAACTTTTGTATTTGGTCTCGTTGTAACAGCCTTGTTAAATCCTGGATTCTTAACACGGTGTCAACTCAGATCTATCGTAGTATACTTCGTTTGAATGATGCTACTGATGTGTGGAATGACTTACATAGTCGTTTTCACATGACGAACTTGCCTAGAACTTACAATCTCACACAAGAGATTCAGGATTTACGTCAAGGTTCTCTCTCTCTCTCGGATTATTACACTAAGCTGAAGACCTTGTGGAGTAATTTGGAGAATTATGAGGAACCTGATGATCCTTGTACGTGTGGGAAAGCACTTCGTCTCCAACAGAAGGCTGAACGTGCTAAGATTGTCAAGTTCTTAGCTGGGTTAAATGAATCATACGCTGTGATTCGTCGTCAGATTATTATGAAGAAAACATTACCTTCTCTCACTGATGTTTATAACATCTTGGACCAGGATGATAGTCAGAAGAGTTTTGCTACTGCGATCTCTCCTGCTGCCTTTCAGGTCTCTGAGACTCCAACTCCTTCTCAAGTGACTTCAAGTATCAGTTACGTGCAGAGTGGGGCTCATAAAGGGAAACCTATTTGTTCCTTCTGCAACAAGATTGGTCACATTGCTGAAAGATGTTACAAGAAGCATGGTTTTCCTCCGGGTTACACTCCCAAAGGAAAGACACATGAGAAGTTTCAAAAGCCTGTATCTGCTACTCCTCAGGTCAATTCGTCTGTTAAAGCCGATGCTAAACCTGCTCCTCTTGACAATCTGATTGGCAACCTCTCTAAGGAACAAATCCAACAGTTTATTGCTCTGTTTAGTTCTCAACTTCAGAGTGGTAACTTGTCTGGTAATGGTGAGACTTCAAACACTCAGAGCAACAATGAAATTTCGGGTATCGATTTCTCTAAATCTACCTTTTGTTTCATTGGTATTCTCACGGTTTCTCAGAATATGCTTAATAATGATTCTTGGATTCTTGATTCTGGAGCAACACATCATGTTTCTCATGACAGAGACTTATTTGTTTCTTTGGACATGAGTGTTCAGAGCTCAGTGAATCTTCCTAATGGTTCTATGATCAAGATTAGTGGAGTTGGGAGTATTCAACTAAATAAGCACATTTTGCTGAAAAATGTTCTTTTCATCCCAGAGTTTCGTTTGAATCTCATCAGTATCAGTTCCCTGACAACTGACCTTGGATTCAGAGTCATATTTGACCCTTCTTCTTGTGAAATACAGGCTCGTACCAAGGACTTGATGATTGGTCAGGGTAGAAGGCTTGGGAACCTGTATGTGCTCGAGATCAAAGACATTTCTGCAGCAGTGAATGCGGTCGTGGATATTGGTACTTGGCACAACAGAATGGGTCATGCTTCTTATGCTAGGCTTGACTTGATATCAGATAGTTTGGGAACTACTAAGCAGAAGAATAAAGGAAAGTCTTATTGCCATATATGTCATTTGGCAAAACAGAAGAAACTTTCTTTTCCCTCGCCAAACAATATGTGTAATTCAAACTTTGAGCTTTTACATATAGACGTTTGGGGACCTTTTTCAGTTGAGACAGTGGATGGTTATAAATATTTCTTGACTATCGTGGATGATCACTCTAGAGCCACTTGGGTTTACTTACTACGAACTAAAGATGAAGTAATCAAGGTATTCCCAGCTTTTGTGCTTCAGGTTGAAAACCAGTATAATGTGCGAGTCAAAGCTGTTAGGTCAGACAATGCACAAGAGTTAAAATTCTCAACGTTTTTTCAAGAAAAGGGGATCATGTCATATCACTCTTGCCCTGAGACACCTGAACAGAATTCAGTGGTGGAACGAAAGCATCAACATCTATTAAATGTCGCTAGAGCTTTCATGTTTCAGTCTCAGATTCCGCTTGCTTATTGGGGTGATAGTATCTTGACTGCAGTGTTTGTGATTAACTGTACACCATCTCCTTTACTTGGAAATAAAACTCCATTTGAGATTTTAACTGGTAAGGTTGCTGCCTATGATCAGCTTCGAACGTTTGGATGTCTGTGCTACGCTTCTACTTCTCCAAAACAGAGGCACAAGTTTCAACCTCGATCAAAAGCTTGTACTTTCTTGGGTTATCCTTCAGGAGTCAAAGGTTATAAACTACTGGATATGGAGACATATAGGATTTTCATCTCCAGAAATGTGGTATTTCATGAGGATCAGTTTCCTTTCGTGACAAGTCAACAATCGGAGGAGGTTTTGCACCACTTCACACCATCTTTGCTCTCAGGTAAAACTCATTTACCATCTACCTCATCTCAAATTTCTCCATCCTCCTCTCTACCATTACAAATTTCTTCTAGACCTCGAAAGCAACCTGCTCATTTGCAGGATTACCATTGCTATTCGTTGGATTCAGACATTACTTATCCCATTTCCTCTTCTCTTTCATACTCCAAACTTTCCTCTTCTTATCGATCCTATGTCAATAACATCACTAAAATTCCCATTCCTAATTCCTACTGAGGCAAAGATGTCTAAAATGTGGTGTGAGGCTGTGGATAAAGAATTTGGGGCAATGGAAGCGACTAAAACATGGGAAGTTACTACTTTACCAGTTGGGAAGAAAGCAGTGGGAAGTAAAGTTCTGTATTCATTGAAGTTTAATGCAGATGGTAGTCTTGAACGTCCTAAAGTTCGGGTTGTTGCTAAAAGTTTCACTCAGAAGGAAGGGTTGGATTATACAGAAACTTTTCACCTGTGGCTAAACTTACTACTGTCCGTTTTCTACTTAAAGTAGCTGCTTCCAGGAACTGGTTTCTGCATCAATTGGATAAATCTAATGCGTTTTTGAATGGAGACTTGGATGAAGAGATATATATGAAGATACCAGATGGTTATGCAGAATGGAAAGGTATTACATTGTCTAAAACTGATGCTTTTCGGCTCAAGAAATCTATCTATGGGTTGAAACAAGCTTCTAGACAATGGTTCCTTAAGTTTTCTGCAGCTTTTTTACGGTTGGGATTCACTCGAGGTACATGAGATCATACTCTCTATGTGAAGACATGTTCTGATGGTAACTTCATTGCTGTATTAGTCTATGTTGATGACATTATTGTAGCGAGTACGGATACTTCTCACTCCAAGCAATTGATACAAGATCTGTCTCAGCAATTTAAACTCAGAGATTTGGGAGATTTGAAATATTTCTTGGGTTTGGAGATAGCTAGATCACGCCAGGGAATTTCCATTTGTCAGCGCAAATATGCTTTGGAACTTCTTTCTTCTACTGGTGCAAGCATGTAAACCTACTTCTACTCCCATGGTTCCGAATTTACATTTGGCTCTTGATGATGGTGATCTTATTGAAGCTCCGGAGAGGTATCGCAGTCTTGTTGGCAGATTGATGTATTTGACTATCACACGGCCAGACATAACGTATGCTGTGAATAAGTTATGTCAGTATTCTTCTGCTCCGCGTTCTACTCATCTTACTGCAGCTCACAGAGTTTTACAGTACATCAAAGGCACTGTGGGACAGGGACTTTTCTATTCAGCAAGTTCAGACTTAACATTGAAAGGTTTTGCTGATGCTGACTGGTCTTCTTGTCGTGATAGTAGACGCTCTACAACGGGTATTTCTATCTTTCTTGGTGATTCATTGGTGTCTTGGTGATCAAACAAACAAGACACAGTGTCTTGTTCTTCTGCAGAGGCAGAATACCGTGCACTTTCTACTGCGGCGAAGGAGATGATATGGCTTATAAAGTTAATGAATGATTTGAAGGTGTGTCGTACTCATACTCCTATTCTATTCTCTACAGTACAGCTGCTATTTACATCGCTACTAATCCAGTCTTTCACGAACAGACCAAACATATTGAAAATGATTGTCATCTTGTTCGTGACTGGCTTGATAAGAAGATCCTCAAGACGCTTCATGTTCGTACGTCTGATCAAGTAGCAGTCATAATGACCAAACCTCTGTTTCCGTTTCAGTTCAAGCACTTATTATCCAAGATGAGGCTTCATAACATTTTTGGATGCTCATCTTGAGGGGGCCTATTGGTTTATAGTGTATGATGATATACGGTTTAACATTGGTTTGGTTAAGTAGCTCGGTTTAATACAATTGTACAGCTAATATAAATACTTGTAATTGTACATTTTATCGTAATAAGAAATCATTTTGATATTATCTTCTTCTCTCTCAAGTAACTTGAACGTAATAGCTCCCTATCATAAAAAGGTGCGACAAACATAAACAACATAGACCAAACGACTCACGCCGTTATTTGATCAAAGACTCTAAACGTCAAATACCAAATTCAACTTGTAACTTCACCTGAGATTTGCTCCAACAAAAGAAGCAAGAAGAGATAATAATGAGATAAAAACCAAATTAAGAGGGTGGATCATTATCATTTTCAGAGTAAACATTACATAAGAAACAGAGAACCCATCAAGCAAACGTTAACATAGGGTTTCTCACTGCGTCTAGAAAACCACCACTACATATGATGGGCGATACATAATAAGGAAGAAAACACACACTGATCATATGTACTCGTGGAAACATCAAACATATCATACATTATGCATGGTATGTGTATATATGCATATGTTTGCTGGTTAAAGGTTTGCTTCCACAATCTTGCTCGCAGGAGCTTTCTCTTGTTTCTCCACGTAAGCCGACGGGAACCATCCGGCTTTCCCCTTGTATTCTCCTTCCGACCAGCCTGTCCCAGCCACCTTAAATATTTGTTTCATGAAACACAACCAGAATCATTAACTCCATCTTTTTTTTTTCTGTTTTGTATTGCTTAAAAAGGAATATGTACCTGTCGCACGATGACATAATCATCAACCGCTAGGCTCAGTTCTCCCGGCGCTTGAGCATCAAACGGGTGCACAACCTATCAGAAAAAAACAAAACAAGAACACATAACTCTTGTTCTTGACCGAGTTTGGAAGAACTGTTTCGAAAGACTATTACCTTTGCAAGAAAGTAGGAATCATTTTGACTGAGAAGCTGATGGCTGTGCTGATCATCAGATCCATTGGTGGAGGACTTGATATCTTCCTCTGTACTAGAAGACTTGATCTCTTTCACAGGTTTGGATTTGATTTCAACTTCAGGACTAGACTCCATGTGGTCCTTTGGATTGGGTTTGGTTACTTCTTCTTCATGGGGAGTAGCATGCTTGGTTTCTCCTTGGTGATTTGATTTGATCTCTCTGCTGTGACTGGCATTCGTTTCTTCTAAATGTAAAGGTAGAGACTTTGGTGATGATTCTATAGCTTCTTCCTCAGCAATCATCTGAACAGGAAGACATCCCAAATCAGTATGTACTATTCATTTTCTAAAGTTTATCATAGAGAGAGTTACTGACCTCAGAATGTAGCTTATCAAGGATATCAAGAGCATTACGATGATATGATATCTCAGCTTCAACCTGCGTTAGTTAATTTCATTTTCATATCCAATCTAGACACCACTAAACATTAATCAAGTAAGAAATGATTCAAGTGGAGATTTTTACCAGAGTACGGAGGCGCTGATAAGTTATGCTCTGCTGCTGATTGTCGACTTCTAACATAGCCTTAGTAGCTTCTTTGCCAAGGGTTTTCATGCTTGATTTGAGCTCAGCCAATCTCGACTCAGAGTTCTTAAGCTTCATGTAAGCCTCTTCAGATACATCAGATTCCTTCAACTTTGATCTTCTCCTCAGTACATCAGTCGCCTATTCAAAAAATGTTTTTTTTTTTTTAAATTACAAACTGACTCAAAACAAATAAGAAAAGACTTTTACCTGTGCTTCGACTTCTTGTCTCAACCTGTCGTAATGATTCACTAAATGCCTTGCATCCTCCAAAGGCGCACTATATATCATTGTACGAATTGGCTCACAAACCTAAACATATACAAAACAGCTGAAGTTTTATTAAAAATAAAACTATATCAATAAAAAGAAAATGTTCTAAAAGTTTTACCTGCTCACTAAGAACTCCAAGTAGAGTTTCCCTGCCATCTTCCACAGACTTGTAAGAGGTCCCAAAGTGATGTGCAACTCTTGAGAGAGGAGTGTTAGCATCAGGATTCTCGTCTCCATATTTCTTAAAATCTTCAGCAAACTTCAACCCTATTACGGACACAACATTCCTAATCTGATCCCGAGATGATAATATAATGAGACTGGAGTAAGAACCCAGAACTTACCGATCTCTACAACTTTGGTGCCTGTTGCAATGAACCCTTCTAGCCCACGAACAATATTCCTTTGCAAACGCTGTGAGCGAATATACTAATTAAATTTCTAAAAAAAAAAATCTTCCTTGAAAACTACTAGAAGTTTATCATTTTACTTTTGCAGCCTTAGTAGAGCTATATAGTTCTTGAAGTTTCTGATGACAGTGAAGCTCTTCTTCATCAACAACCACAGCATCCGCGTTAACATGCCCTAAATGCTTCAAAACCGCCTGTACAATAACGGAAACCTTTACACAAAAAGAAAGAAACCTACACAAATCTTGTCTGAAATGATAACGCAAACACATAGCTCCAAAAAAAAACAAGCAAAAAGGTCTACCAATTCATTCGTCAGTAAATCCTATCTGCCCCCCTAAGGCTATAAATTAAACATGAGCACTTCCAAGATTCCACCTTTATTGAAACCCACATAATCAATTTTCCAGATTTATCTCCTGAATAAATCTAACTACACAGAAAAGTACTAAAAAGGAAAGAAACCCACTTGCTGTTGCCTAGCAACTTGCTCTCTGAGCTTGGCCGCTTGCTTTCTTATGGCTTCCATGGCTGAAAAAGTATCACTTTTTGGTTACTTTAACCTCCTCGGCGAAGTCTCTTTCTTCACTACCAACAGATATAGATCGAGAGACAAAGCCAAATAAAAAAAAAAGGGGGTAGTTGAAGTTTCTGAATTAGAGGAAGCAGAGAGAGAGAAAGTGGGAAGTTTTGGACATGGATCCTTAACTCCTATACAGGTAACAGTCGGCAAAACACCAAAAGGTAACGACAATGGAATATAAATTTTAAGTGGAGATGAAAGATGAAGCTACTGACTCTTTCGGTTCAAAACTTTCTTTATGGTGGTGAGTGGTCTTTAATTTCCTACTCATTTAGTACTATTTTTTTTTCTCTCTAACTACAGTCGGTTTAGCATTTCTTTTTTTTTTGTCAACCGGTTTAGAATTTCTACTTATTAATAAATAAATAACAAAAGAATTGACGAAAATAAAATGAATATTAATATATTAAATGAACATTATAGATTCAGTTCGAATCTTTCTCCATTAAAATGCCTTTATTTTTTTAGTTATCCTTATTTTGTTTATTTAACTGGTCTTAAAACAGCTTTAATTTGGATTTAGTTTTTCCAAAAACTCTTTTTGCACCAACCAAAATCTATGCTTTATTGGTTTTCTTCAATGTACGTGACTATTTTTTTTGTTAAAATACTTTTATAGTAATACGCAAAAATAAATCTCTTTATAAATTAAAGTGATAAAATAGTAACTATTCTAAATCATTAGAGTTGAAGAAAAAATAATTTATCTGGCATCTAAAGTCAGCAGAAAATATAATTATTTTTATTAAACTTTGGAAATTTGTTATGTAAATGATTTAATAATGTTTTTACTAACATTTTACCATAGACTTTAACTTTAGAAAATTTAGTTAATTTTTATAAAGTTCTAAGTACTATATATTTATTACACTTTATTACAATTTCGTATTTGAAAATTTTAGCTATTAAATTTTGGTAATATTATAATTAGATAAATTTGTACACTATCATAGTGTACAATGAATTAAAAATTTGTTTAGTTTATTTAAATAAAAATTAATTATTTTTGTGCTAATATTTCTTATTTTCCTATTAAGTAATATGCTGTCACCAATTATTTTTCTATTCAACCAATTTAACTTTAGAACAAAAATAATAACTTAAATATAGTCAAAATAAAAAAAACTTAAAAATAAAGTATAAATCACCATTCAAGTTTTTTAAAATCTGAAATCTACAACACACTCAAACCAAAATACTAAAAACTAAAATCTAAACACTAATTTTTATTTTTAAAAAAATTTAAAGTCAAAAATGTAAAATCTAAAAATCACGTAATCACTCATCAATTTATTATTCTGATATTTTAGTGACAATTATAATTGGACGTAAAAAAAAAGAATTCATCATCATTTTTTTGGTTTATTTTCCGAAATTCCTTTTCAACGTGATGTAATCATATGATATAACTTTAGAAAATTCAGTCTTTCACATGATAAAGTCTTCTTAACTTAAATTAAGTAATAAATAACCAGTCAATTTCGTCGGTCTGGCTTCACTTAAAAGATTCTTGGACTATAACTCGTGTGGCTATTTGTTTTTGATTTTAAAATGCAAGAAAGAAAACAAGGAAATAAATATATTATTTGAGCTTATTTAGCTGAATAACCATAGTTAAAAGTTTAATTAGTTATCTGGATGTGTATAGCTTTAAGGAAAATTACGAGCTGATATGTCCTCTAATGTCCCTACTGGCTACACCCAAAACTGACAAAAGCTATATTGATGAGAAGTCTTGACAGTGTCAGTGAAGAGACTTCCAGCTAGTTTACTATCTATAATGAATTTAGATTAATCTACGGTAAGCAATCTAGAAAATATCCAATCTATGTAAAAAAAAAAAATATAAAGCTTTTTTATTTGTTATTTATTTCTCCTTTTTCTCTAACATACAATTTTTATTCTCTTTCTTTTGTTCCACGGTATATATTTTGGAGATATTCTGATGCATAATACCTTGCAAGATCGTCATGATATTCGGTCAGCGTGACGAAATGCTGTCATGACTATGGGGTATTGTCGTGCTCGCCATTGTGCTCATCGCCACTGTTCACCTCTCTCTCTCTCTCTCTCTCTCTCTCTCTCTCTCTCTCTCTCTCTCTCTCTCTCTCTCTCTCTCTCTCTCTCTCTCTCTCTCTCTCTCTCTCTCTCTCTCTCATCTGCTTTTGTTTTCTTTTTGGTAAAGGAAGACAAATTATGTAAATACAATTAATTTTGGAGAGCATGGCATGCATGGTCTCCAACAACGGTGGTGAACCGCATGATCTCTTCAGCACAGCAATGCTCCATTTCGCTGGTGTAAAGTGGTCTGATGGAATTTGTTGTGGTGGTGGTGTGGCGTTTAAGTTTGACGGCTATGAAAAATACATGGACTTTTTTAATGTGTAGTATCATAAACATCAAATATATGATTATGTGATGTTGTATCCAGTTACCTGAACTATTATCCAACTAATATAATTCATATTATCCACATTTTTTAGGGGACCGCTATTTAAAATTTCATTTTGATCAAATAAATTTTATGTATCCAGTTATGAGGACCATTTAATGGATAATACAATTCATGTTGATACTGAAAGGTACCATGTATTACTTTTCATGTCAGGATAATTTGATTTTGTTAAGCTGTTGACTAGAAAACTTTTAAAACATCGTTTTAATATCAAGAAAACAAAAAAGTTATATGTAAACATTAATATGGCTTAACCGGTTATCTAATAATATAAAATTCACATAACCAAGAGATATCTTCATCTCTCCGGAAAAATGCATTCAATTATCAACATGTGGCTAACCGATAACCCTAACGTCTACACTCATCACCTAACCGGTTACCTAATAATATAAACTTCACATACCAAGAGCAGGTATATTGTTAATAACCAATTATATAACTCTGAAACCGGTAATGAGACTCATGTGTGCAATTCAATATATTAGGGGTCGACTATAAAACAAATTAATTAAAAACCAGTTATATGGCATTGAATCTGGTAAAATGAAGCATTTTAGACCGGATATATAATTGAAAACCGCTTATGGTAAGATGTTGTAACGCTGATATATCATTGGATAAATCAGAAGATATTTTCTTTTAATTAACTGAATGCTTCTGATGATCGACATGTGTTCAATTGCATGCGACAACCTAAACATTCCGATAAAGCTCTCCAGCATGCAAAGGAAATTTGCTTCTCATCATTTTCTCGTATAACACATACTTAATTCTCTAAAATACGGGAAATTGATGGCAAGTTGAAACTCAGACTCCTCATCTTCTTCTCGGGTCTTAAAATTTTTTTTGATCCTCTTTGTTGTTATTCAAGACAACCAGTCATGTTTCTTTCATAGACCGATGATAATCCATGTAGACAGTTTCACAAGAATTAAATATATTATTTTGGCTTTCATATTCACTTAGACTTATGCATTACGTGTTGACGTTCATCTGCTTTGTGTTCAATCATGAAGTTGCTTTAACAATTGTTTTCATTTTTTATCAAACTTTTCATTTACAGAATAATTGGCTTGACGATTTTTTTCCTCAAATTTATCAGTGTCTTAGACACTGTCAATGTCACCTTCTTCATCGATGCTATGCTAATCAAATGTAGAGCATCTGTAGAAAACGGAAATCAGATACAATACCGAAGCGCAGAGAGAGAGAGAGAGAGAGAGAGAGAGAGAGAGAGAGAGAGAGAGAGAGAGAGAGAGAGAGAGAGAGAGAAGATGAAATATCAATAGAAGAAAAAGATAAATGGATTTATGTATGTTGTCCATAGGATGTTTTTATATACGATGACTTATTTACAATATTATATTTTTTCCTTGTATTATAAATATGTAGTAGACAGCTATAACTTAGCTACTAGATTATCTTTTGCGAAATAATGTCACCTAGTCATGTCATCCTCTGACAACAACTTCTGTGTGACCTGACACACCCTACATTCTACCCCACTTGTCTGTTCAAAATTGTAGACGTTTGGGAGATCTATTCAAGGGTGTTTTCGTCCTACTCCAAGCTTCGCATAGGTAATCACCTAAATACGAAAAATGTATGATCGGTTAGCTAATATCAAAAGTTTTTATGGTTATAAAGCGAAATTACTCTATTACTTATTCTGAATATTCGTTAAATTGTATTAATTATACAAAATACAAATGAACCAGACACTAGCTTTCATGGAGCGGTGAAAGAAACAACAAGTACTTTAGGCATAGCTAGTTTCCTCGCTACCATCCACAAACAAAGTTTTTTCGGTTGATAACATTTGTTGGCATTTTAAAACAACGCATAAATCGTTACAATATTCAAATCACTCTAAACCTCTAAAATTTAAAAGCTTATTCCAATTACTGTTTACTGTTGCGGACGGCTGCGAAAAAGTAATGTAATGTTTCTTTGAAACAAATTGTTGAAATATACAAATACAATTTTTTTTATTAAGACTTTAATTGAAATAATAGAAATACTAAAATATATCTATTTTAATTTATATTATAAAACTTTAAAATAAAATAATTTCTATAATTTTTTTAAAAAATTAATAGTATAATTTTATACCTATAATTATATTTATTATAATAATAAAATTTTAAATATTTTTATAATTATATGAAATGTAAATATTGTTAATTTATTATTTAATCACTATTATACATTTGGTAGTTAACTAGTCAAAACTATCCCGCACACACAAATTTCTACCAGTCGTACAAATCCCTTATTACCGCTTAAAATCGCAACCATCCATATCCACAAACGCTCGCTACCGCACCCGCAACCACTAAGGTAACATCAGTCAGGCCCTCAAGGTTACATGTGATCAAAACGGTTATTGTACTCTTTTGGTTTCAAAAAATTAGAATTTTTTTTATTTTTATACTTAGTTACAAAATACCTGTAAATTATATATATTATAAAAATATGATTTTAATTACAAAATAATTTGAAGCTTTCAACAAGGATCATGATATCACTTCCGCCATCCGTATTCATGAAGAACGCTATACCAAAACAAGAGCCTACAATATCAACATTCCTTGAAAATCAAAGAACAAAGACGTATGATGAGAAATCCATTGTCAGATGGCGAACTGTCAAAAACCCTTGGAAAATGAGATTAAGAAGATCATTCTCCTGATCAAAGGTGCCCTATAAATTGAAGAATATACAAAGAAGATCGAATAAGCGACGAAGAAAAGATAAATAAAGAAGGACAACGAAA